CCCCCCCCCCGCACACATCAACACACATCCTCAGTCAAACGCATGCTTTCAAACGCAAATGCACCCAGAAGCCTGCTGCGTGCGTCCCTTTTCCTCTGGTTGGTACACCTAACGCGATACCCACGCTTGTTTTTGCCAACACACCCACTCCCTTCAGGAGCTCAACCTGGCGTTCGGCGCTGACCTGGCACGCCACCTCGACCCCGACTCACCCGCTGACGAGGCACTCCTCATATCTGTGGACGCCCTGGGCGCCGACGTGCGCACCCGCACGGGGGGCGAGTTCACGATCGAGCGGATCGGGTTCGGCCGCCGCGTGGAGACGGCAGAGGAGGCGCGCGCCGCGATGAGACACGCCCTGGGCAGGTGATCACCCTGTCCCAGGGGCGTGCGGCCGCCGGCCGGCCCGCTGCCTGCGGCCGGCCAGCCCGCAGCCTCCTTCCCGTTGCCGTCGCGGGCGTGCCTGGCCAGTGGCTGGGGTTGTTATCTGGTGTGCAGGTGGCTCACCCGCAGGTGGCTGCGCCAAAGGGGTATCCCTGGATTGACTCGCGCCAGAGGCTGTACCTGTTGCATTTTTGCATGGGCCGCCAGGCTGGCCGGGTGCGCCTGCGTGCCTCGTGCGGCTCGCACCCGCGGGCACGTCGCAGCCGCCACCTGTCGCGCGCGCATGGAAATCCCTGACCTTCTCGTTCATGCATCTCGGGGGCCCCTTTCTCTCTACCGGTATTTGTCTTGTGCTTGTCTTCGGTTGAAAACCACGTGTCAGTGGCGCGGGTTGGTCAACATGCGGACTCACACATTGACCGCAATCACCAATCTCGTGGGCGGCGCTAGATTTGGCAACGCCCCCATCTCCTTCTGCCCCTGTTCCGCTGTGTAATAGTCAGCGGCCTCCTAGCAACTTGTCGTGAGCCTGCCTCAGGGGCCGGCGCACGCCCCCTGAGGCGCAGCGCAAGCCGCGCGAGGTGCAGCATAAATGCACCTGCACACAGCGGCAGGTCTGATCAAGGTGCGACTTCCAAGATTTTTGTGTTGACAGTCAGGAGCTGCGGAACACAAGGAGCTTTTTTGGTCAGCAGAACCGAGCTGTGTTTGCAGTTTCCATCAATCCTGCTGCCTTGGCTGCAGTGATGAGGTCCTGATGGGTGCAGGGCTACCACCGCAGTGCCAGCCGGCCGAGCAAAACACGCAAGGGTGGTGTTACAGGTTGCAGCCGCGGCGCAGGGAAAGAGCGGAGAACAGGCGGGACATGATAATTGGAAGGTACACGCCCCCTGCTCACAGCGGGTGGCACAGAAAATTCAAGGGCACTCCACAGCAGAAGGTTTGGTGGCGCTGGGGCCGAGTGGTGGCCAGTGCATGAGGCACTCTTCGTGGGTAAGAGGTGGGCGGGGCGCCAGCGCCGCCGGCGCCGCGCGCCGCTGCCGGCGCCGCGCGCACCCGCCGGAAAGGGTACAGGAAAATGCGCAGAAAAATGCAGAGGAGTCCGGAGATCGACGCTTGCCCCTCGAGCCGCCGACGGTGCAAAAGTAACTCCCGCAAACAAGCAACACAGCGAAAGCGGCACACGGCAGGTCCCGCAACCAATACGCGCCGGCATGCTCGACCTCTCTGGCTTGGCCCAGACGCCTCGAGGCGGCGCAGGGCCGCGACGCAGTGCTTGCATTCGCGCTCATCGTGCAGCTGGCAACCACGCGGTGCGCTGTGGGTCCAAATGAATAGGGAAAACAAGGGCGGGGGAAAACGCCACGACAAGCGCCTCGCATGGACCGTTTGCCGCCGCCGCGGCCCCAGACGCGCCCGGCACGCGCCTCATGGCGCGCCGGCCCCGCCGGCGAGCGGCGCCGGCCACCACACCTCAATCGACGTTGCCGACTCGCGCGAGCCGGCGGCGCTGATAAGGTCGCAGGGGTACAGCACGTGCATGCTGCCCCCGGACCCACTCACAAGCCGCTCCGCCAACTCGAGTGACACCAGGCCTGCGCCGCCCCCAGAGCCGGCGCCGGCAGCTGCACCGCCGCCGCCCTCGAGCGCCGCAAAGCCGGGCGCCGTTGTGTGAGCCCGGCCCGGCTGCAGGCGGCCGGAGAGCAGAAGCGACACCTCCACGCCGCCGCCGGCCTCGCGCGCGCCGACCAGGACGCGGCCGCCGCGCGGCGCGCACTGCAGGGCAAGGTCGAGTAGGTATGCCAGCGCGCGGCGCACGACCTGCGCCGGGGCGGCGGCGCGCAGCGGCCGCACCGGCCGCGGCAGCAGCGTGGGCGGCGCGGGGGCACCAGC